ACACTTGTACTAAGGAATACCTACAGTACAATTTGTATGTCTTAACAGCAGCACAGGCTTAATCTATACCAAAATCATCTTGCTTATAGCCCTTTAAAGGTCCTCTGAAGACAACATCAAGTGCTTTGCTAGGCATCAGTAAGGCTGCTGTACCTTTCCTTCAGCTATGAAATAAAGTATGCCAGCAAAGACATACTCTTGCTATTATACACTTAATTTTCCACTAGCACCACCTCACAGGACAGGAATCTGTAACCAAGTAAGGTTCTAGTTAAGACTCAGGCTATTCAAAGAGTATTTGCAGGCACTTTTAATTACCAGACCTCTAATTTCTGTGAATATAAAGGGTACATACTTTAGCTGGCATCCTCTGATTTTTTGTAGCTGCTCAGCAATATCTGAAGGCAAAGAATCTTCTTGTCACTCCTACTCCCACTGCCTAGTGTGCATTAGTTAACACTGGTTTATGTATCTATTTCTATCATTAAGTGAATATGTAGATGTAGCCATTGTAGCCATCTTGCAGCAGCTGCAAACAATGACCATGTCCAACAGGTCACTGCATTGAACTCAGCTCAGACTTTGTGCCACATGCATAGGGCTCCCACAATCCAAAAGTACTGTATCTGACCTTCTGCTTCCTCAGGCAGATGCACTTTCTAGTCTGAACTGAAGCAAATTTCATATGTTATTTAGTAGCTTTCCTCTGTGACTATGCATCTCCAGTGGTTATTTTCTCCCTTCACCCCTTATACTCAGCGTTATGAGGACACTATTTAGGTGGGGCAGGATTTGTGTTTAGTGTGCTCTTCAGTTTAACCCATCAATTTTTTCACTGATGGAACCAGTCACCTGGAACACACTGAGGTGCTTCCAACTCCCCATTTCATCTGCTATGGGAAAGCAACCTGAATCCCATTTTCTAATATGAAGAAATCCTGTAATCCTAATCCTTCCCTCTAGATTGGAATATTTTGAAACCTCAAACTACCACTGGATGAAGTAGCATTCATCCTTCCCTCTTCAGACACACTGTGCAAGGCTTAATCTCATCAGCAAGACTGTGCCCTGCCCACACATGCAAGGGACCACTAAGATTGTGAATCCCCACAGACACCGCAGCATGACCCAGTGTAATGCTATAACAGGATGATAATAGCAGAGTGGCAAAGTCTCTGGCTCCAGCAAATGAGAATGAGCCCTAATGCAGCAGCCACGGATGCAGAAATGAAAGAAAAGAGCTGCTTACATTCAGAAGGCCTCAGGTAGGCAGAGATCTACAGCAATAGCTGCCCTGCACTGCCAAATCTTAAATGAAGTCTGGGAAGGAGTGGATCCCCATCCTACTCCTTCTGGTCACTCAGGTGCATTGCATGCACTGGGTTGATCCTGTCTTCCCACCAGGTACTCAACCACTGTTTTAGGCTGTAACCTAGTATTTCCATTTGGAAATACTGTGTTCCCATTTGATATAGTGGAATTGGATTTGGGAATTTTTGTGTATAATAAGTGGCAAGAACTCCAGTGGTAGAAACTGAGCTCCAAGAAAGCTCTCACTCAATAAGAACTTAAACATTTAATTAGAGGCTACAGAAGTACTTTGATGTCTGAATATTTCCGTGGTCCTAGTCATCACACACTTCTATGTGACTTTCTGCAAACAGGATACAGTCTCAGGAAGTTAATTTACAGCCAGCTACTCCTGTTCACTTTTCATATACTAACCAAAACAGGGGGGGCATAGTGCAGAACAAACTTTTCTTCTTACACCCATCACATGCACTCAACCCACATGTATTACACGTGGCATGTGCTTTTGTCACTTGTTGAACAAAAAATAGTGACTGCTGATACTGATATTTCAACATACCTAATGGTGTCTCAAAAGAAAACAAGAACCCCAAAAAAGGAAAATTATGGATGAAGGAAGAGTGTTCAACAAAAAATAGACTGATGAGTTCTTTCTTGTCAAGATAAATAATATGGTACTATACTTAATTTGCAAGGAAACTGTGTCAATTTTCAAAGATTATAATTATCTTGATCTGTAAGAAGCAGTAAAAAATACATTAAAGCAATTTTCTTCAACTTTTGTCAATATATCTAGTATAGCTACTGATGGTTCCACATAGATAACTGGTAAAAAAAGAGGGACCTACACGATTAATAGAAGACAATGCAATTACCACCAGCAGTTCGTGTTTGATGAAACAGCACTGCATCAGACATGAAGAAAATTGACATGTGCAAGCTTTAAAAATGGATAACATAATGCAAATGATCATCAAATCCGAGAATTTCATGAATTCTAATCATTGCCAGTTCCAGGAGTTTCTTAAAAATTCGGATGCTGATTATGGGAATATCATTTACTTTTCTGAAGGGAGGTGGCTAAGTTGGGGTAAAATGCTAAAAAGATTTCATGATTTGAAAAATGAAACCAAGTCATTTATGGAATCAAAAAGAAATTCTGCACCAGAACTTAAAGATGAAAAATGGCTCAGAGGTCTACCACTTTTGGTGGATTTGACCGCTCATTTGAATGAATTAAACGTGTCTTCAAGATGAAAATCCACTTATCTGTGCTTATTTCAAATCATAACAGTGTTCAAAATTACAGCAAGTTCAAGTTATGGCAAATGAGCATTTTGATGCATTGGCTAAATACATTCTTGTAAACAGTACAAAATATACAGCCATGCTTTCTATTTTGATAAAGAAATTTGAGATAGGTTTGAAGATTTAAAAAAAAAAAAAACAAAAACAAAACCAGATTTTTTAATGTATTTTGACTCCTTTTTCAGCTGACAAAAATACGTTACCTGTGAATTCTCACATGTAATGTATCAAGTTGCAAATAAAAGTTTGATTATGTCTTTTTACTACACTTTTACAAGACCTATTTTACCAGAGAAAAATAACCTTCACTTCACAATCACAACTTATTCATGCATTGCCTTTCAGTGGCTTATATGTTTGTGAACAACTGTTTTCAAGGATGAAGCACAGGAAGTGTAATATTTCATCAGAAATCTCTGACGAGCACTTTGAGAACTCACAAAGAATTGCAAATACTTCCACTGAAAAAGGAAAAATATCCCACTAGTCTTATATTTATGTTATTCTTTTTCGTGTTTTAATAAAAAATACATTAAAAAATAAGTTGCGTTACTTATCCACATTAATGATATCATGTGTTTTATACGTGGCCCAAGACAATTCCTCTTCACTCAGTTCAACTCAGGCAAACCAAAAGGTTGGACTTCCATGCAATAGACCTAAACTCATCTGACCAACCAAGTCTGGCAACTGAGTAAACTTGGGCTAATGAGTGAATCCGGGCAGCTGGTTTTAAACACTTGCTTTAAAGGAAATATTGAAAGAAAAAAAGAAAAATATGTATCTTCCATAAATACTTAAGGTAGACTGTGCTTGTGACAATTCCTGTACCTCAAGCCTTAGTTTCACAAATTCCCTAATTTGTCAAAAACTGACACAGATGCCATCCTCCTTACTCCCATCCGACATTGCTCTTTCTCTTCTGGCACACATGCACATGTAGCTTCACAACAAACCAGACTGAGGAACTGGCACAGATGACAAATGGTAGCATAACAGCATCTTCCAGTGGCAGTGCTAGCTGAGAGGATCTGTGCAACCACAACCTACTGCCTCAGCCCAGAAATATAGGAATTAAATATATGATTCCTTCTTTTATTCAATTTAGCACAAGGGCTATTCATGCCTGGCTTCAAGCTACCGTTCTGCACCAGCACTGTCTGGCCATGGAGACAATTTTTTTTCCCAAGGATGTGGGCTGATTTTTAGTTGGAGCAATGATACAAAATAAGTAAATAAATAAGAAATAAAAACCTCAGGAAAATTTTGTTTTTCACACCTGGAAAGGACTTGAAAAAAAAAAAAAAAAAAAAAAAAAAAGTAATCCACAAAAAAAAAGAAGGCTCAAGGGACAAGAGCAAGAATATCCAAGTTTAACACGATGAAAAAAACAAGGCCCAGAAATGAGGCTATAAACATCAAAGGCTCTCAGAAGAGTTCCTCAAAGGAAGTACCCAGGTCTCAGTTTCAGACATTAAGAAGACAGAGCTTCAGCAGTAGCACCAGGCTTAGTTCTAGTCCATGCTGCCACCAGTGATTATAGCATGTGATCCCCCTTCCCACTCAGATTAATCAAGACTACCAAGCTACTGCACGGATAGGACTACAAATACTTCATCAGCCATGAGCTGGCAAAATGAGACTGTGCATGGAAACCAAATATTAACAACTGAGACTTAAGAATAATTCAGATGTAGAACAACTTCAAATCATGTTTTCAATGCCTTCTCCTCACCCAGTTCAGCTGCACTTCAGAAACCCAGGTCACTTATATAATCACTCCAAAACAAGCCACCTCCCTCCTATGCAACCTTTTAAGAGGACTTTATCCTTATACAAGTTACCTTCAATAAGCCTTTTAGATTTCAAGAAATTCTAAAACATCAGTGAATGCTGTCACAAAACTTCAGTAGCATGTTATGGATGTGATTTGGCCAGCAAATGAGGGGGAAGGACAAGGCAACAGCATCCATATCCAGTAATCCCTTGGCAAAGGTGCTCCCCTGCCCTTGTATTATCTGCCAGATTTGATCCATCCAACTTCTGAAAGTAAGTTAAAGCACAAAGCATAAGGATAACAAGGGTGCTGGGTGGGCCGGGGAAGAGCTGCAGGAGCTTGAAAGGCTAGGCAAGTTGCTTGAGGCACCAAGGGTGTAACCACAGCTCTGGGGTAAGCTCCAAGTGGGGAGAAGGGAAATGTGCAGCAAGCACCCGTCTCATCTTCCGTTCCTCCATGACAGGCCATAAAAGTCACAAGACACAAATGAGCAAACCAGAGAGAAAAACAAGGTGTCCAGAGTTCAAATGCAGCCCTGAGACACCAAGGTTTCTGAAGTCCACAGTCCAGTGACCAGCGCAAGACCTAAATCTCATGTGGGAGGCACAGCGGCAGTGCGGAAAAGCACTCCAGCTGCCGGGCCCGGGGTCGGGCCCACATTTCTACCTGTGAGGGGCAGGAGCATCAAGAAAAGGCTGCGGAAGGCCCCCCGAGGGTATAAGCTCATTGCTCCTTCTCCCTGTAGGCACCAGAGCGGGCATCCCCGCACCTGGCTCTGCGGGGCTTCCCCGAACGGCGATTCCCCACACATTCATCCACACCTACGCGCATCAGGCCGAGCCCCGCGTCCCAGAGGAGGGCAGCAGGCCCGTCGTCCCACAGCGGGATGAGGGCGACTTCCTTCCCCCGAGATTCTTCCTACGCCTCCTCCCCGTCGGATCCTGAAACGGCGGGCCGCTCTCTCGGCCGTCCTCTCCCTATCGCACCGGCCCCAGGAACAGCGCCCTTCCAGCCCGGTCTCAGCCCGGCCCGTGCGGGATCGGCGCCAGGCCTTCGCATCTCCAGGCAAACAGCAACGCCACTCTCACAGTGCCCTTACCTGCGGCGGCCGGGCCGGGGCCAACGCTACCCCCAGCACCGCTCAGGCTGGGACCCCCCTGCCCTGGGCTACAGCAGACTCAGATCTCTGCGCTTCCCGCAGGGCTGCAGGTATGTCATCAGCACCGCGGCTCCCAGGTGAGCCGGACACACCTACAGGAAGGCAGGCAGGCTGCCTGATTGGCGTGCGGGGCTGACAGCGGGGCTCGCACCCCCGCTGGTGGGTGCGGGGCTGGGCGCGAGGAGAGTCGTCTTCGTCCTCTTCCTGGTGAGCTCTCACACTGGAGTCATCTCGGTGTTGGAGCTGGCTGTGCGGTGGTTCGGAGCACGACGAAAAATGCTCCTCTGCGTAACTCGGAGTGGAAAACACACTTAACGCTGTTTTTTTGGTTTTTGTTTTGTTTTGTTGTTTGGTTTTGTTTTTGTTTTTTCAGTCTTGAAGGCGACAGCAGAGCCAGCATACCTGCCCCCTGTCATCCGTGGTTCCAGAAACACGAACTATGACATTTTTTTTTTTTTTTTTTTTTACAACCTTCTTCATTACCCGAGTCTTTCTTCCTGCCGCTTAAGGTCGTCATTCTTGCATATGTGAACCCTTCTCTGTGTTTCCTCCCCACAACGAATGGCCAGGATTTCAAGGGAAAGCACCAGGTACTAGAATTGTTGTCCTCACAGCATAGAGAACAGCTCAGCCCCTGCAGTAGATCTCAGAGATCCTAACATTATGTCCTGGACTGTCATATAGGAGTGAGTGAATTAAACAGCTTACTAAAGATGAAATTGAGCAGCATTTGAATAGAAAAACTAATTTGTACCAAAAGTCTGAATCCACAACAGTCATTCTCAGGCATCCTGTCTTTCTGAGTACACAAATAAATATCCCTGGGAAACCTAGCTGCATAAAAGCTTTCTATGGTTACTGTGGTTGTCATGTTTAACTGTGCACTGGAATGGCACAGCATATCAGTTCTCAGTGAAATAAGTTCTGTCATTATCTACCAGCACAACTGTAGCCATGGGGACAGACTGTAGGGAAGTTTCCCTGACTTGGCAGAGTGGGACAGAGGCCAGTAGAGAAAAGAGGAGTATGACTAGATCCAAAACTGTAAAGAATTTTGCTAGACAGGTGAGTGAGGAAGGAGTTATCTATAATACATTTGCAGTCTCCTTGAACTGATATTCAGTACTGTCCCTTCCCTGAATCTTTTTTCCTTTTCATAAGGCTTGCTGATGCGTATCCACCAGGCCACTGTGGAACAAAAGAGAGGGGAAGTTTGAGCAAACCACTTGAGAAACTCAGTAGCCCACATCTGAGTATTCCTCATTTCTCCCTTCCCCGCAAGATCTCTCTGTCAGGAAAACTCATTTCAGAAGTGGCCAGGCAAAACCTCTACCCAGCCTGTGATAATCCTACCTGTGCTTGGTACTGCTTTCTTATACAACTAATATTTTCCTTCAGTTGTGTGGATGAATAATTTCTTCATAGTGGAGCAGCTTATGCAGTTGAGACTTCTGTTCCATATCACAGCATTTACAGTCAACTAGGAAGAAATGTATACCCCAAATTCCCAAATGAGACTAGGGAAACCAACTCTGGATGGTGTGTATTTTGGGTTGTTGCACAAACCTTTGGACCATTATCTACATAGGCAATGATTCTTCCTGCTGCGTTTTTATAAGCAACTAGCAGTAGGCAGTGGGATGGAGCTCCAACCCCACTCCAGTAGCTACTAAGAAATGGCACTCTGTCATCCAGAAAAGGATGATTTATTGTCTAAGAAGGGCTTAACCTTCATCCTTCTCCTTGGCACCTCCAGTGGCTCTAGAGGCAGTTTTCTTTTCTGCTTTTGTGAATCATATCTTGAGATATCTTGCTTTCCCTATCTATTGCACAGGGAATTGGAGCACCTAAGTTTTCTTTGTGTGTTGTCTAAGGGGAAGAAATGCCTAAAAATAATAACATGCAGCTCTCGGTGTCGCAGTATCTACATCCTTCCGTGGGACAGCTCTCCTTCTGTAACTTAACTTGTGTGCCTGCATGAAAATTCCTGAAATGCAATTGAGGTACTTCTTCCATCAGTAGCACAAAAGAAAGGTCAGTGAAGAATAAGTATGCTATGAGCTCAGAATCAATGGGATTAGAAGGCACCTCTGAAGATCAGACAGCTCAGGCTCCCCTTTCAGATCAGGATTAGCTGGAGCAGGCTGCTCGGGATCATGATCAGAACAGATGGTTTTAAACATCTCCAAGAGCATAGACTCCATGACTTCTCTTAGCAACCTGTACTAGTTTAGCCACCCTTGCAGTACAAGTGGTTTTGTTTTAGAACTCTGCATGTCTGGAGCACCACATTATGAACAGAAGAGGTCCAATCCCATGCTGGGAGTACTCCTCCTCATCCTCTCGAGCAGTATGAGCTACAGTGAGTCAACATTTTTGGCCAATAGCTGATGGACTCTGTGAGGAAATTTAAGAGCCAGTGCTGGTAGTGCTACAGGTTCCATGCTTTTCTTGGGTTTGTAGGTGTCAGCACCTTACTCAATTAGAGCAAGTACTTGAGCAAAAAAGAATATATTGCCAGGATTACACAGTCCACTCAGCTTTTTTGTTACTATCTTGAATATAGCCTTAGCAATATTGTCATGACTTACATCTAGATTCCTATAGTCATCTCTTTGGATTCACCGTGGCGGGGCAGAAAGAAGTTAATGAAATATTAAACTGTTTCAGAATGGAAACCATCTTCCAGAGATGCAGATTTGAGCTGCCCTTCCCCCCCCCCCCCTTCAGATTCAGGTGCCTGTCATGCTCTGATTTCCCTACATGGCAGCAGATAGAAAGCAGCATATGTTGAGCTTTTGTGTACTCTCACAGTAGCTCCTCATTTCTGGAAATGGGTTTGGGCCTGTCTTAATCCAAATCTGCTTCTATTACAATTGTGAATACAACTGTAATAGCAAATATCTACTATTGACTGGCGGGGTGTTGCTTGTCCTTGAAGTTCAAGAAATACAGTTAACATAATCAAGTACTGGTTTCTGAGATCTTTCCTGAAAATTGTTCCAAATTAAGTTCAGGAATAACTGAATAACTCAGGAATAACTGAAGGAGTTAAGAAAATTCAGAACTGGATTACAGGGCTAGATATGTTTTCCTATGTGAAACTTGTTATAAAACCAAATTACTGAAATGATATGTATTTATAACAGTAGTCCTGAAACAGTAATCTGTATTGTCAGGGAGCATGCATATCCTAAGAAAATAGATTAAGAACTAGTGGCTTGTTTACTGTGTTGCAGACGTTTCTTCCAAAATAATAGCAGTGGTCTTGACTGATGTACAAACAGGGCCATTGTTCTAGATGGCTTGCTTGCTACACACTGCTTTCTTATAGGTGCTTATGAGAAACTTCAGAGAAAAGGATAGGACTTCAGGCTCTCTGCAAGAGACAGTCTACTGTTAGAAATACAAGAGAAAGGGCTCACCTGGAGTCTCCAAGCTCAGCTAGAGTCTCCCTGCATATCAGCTACATAAGGAGCCAAAAAGTGTATTTTTGTTTGCATGCATCCATTTAGCCCTGTCATTGCCCAACAGTTCACCTTGTTATAAGCTACTGCCTACTTTAAAAGGAACAAACATGGTTCCGGCTTTGTTTCTGACTGGGGGCCTGTGGTGAGATTTTTCCAGGTGCAGTCACAGCTGCAGCTTTTGCAGTGCAATCCAGATGGGTGTCACTGTTCATGCTAGGGCTTCAGAAGGGGTTTTGCTTTACATGAGCAAATTCTGGCTTCATTGACCTTTTCTGATTTTTCTTGAATTGAAGGGAGGAATGGCCAGCCACTAGTAGCAAAAGCAGGCAAAGTAGATCATCAGTTACTTTGCTGAGAATGCAAATATTGTCATCTGAGCAGATGTAGCAAGCCAGCATGAACTGTTCATAGCAGCAAGCAGAGAAAAATAGGGAAAGAAGAAAGAACCAACAATGTATCTCCTACCTATGACTTCATATAGAATTATAGAATTGTTAGAGTTGGAAGGGACCCTTTTAGATCACCTAGTCACATTCCCCTGCAATGAACAGGGACATCTAGACAGATAGATTGGGTTACTCAAAGCATGGTACAGCCTGATCTTCATTATCTTCAGGGACTGGGCATTCACACCTCTGGGCAACCTGTTCCAGTGCCTCACATTTGTTTTCAAAAGCTTTTTCCTTACATCCAATCAAAAATCTTCCTTCTTTTTAGTTATGGACAATTTCCCTTGTCATATATTACAGTAGACCCTTCTTCCTTGTAGCCCCCTTTAGGTACTGAAAGGCTGCTATCAAGTCTCCCCAGAGCTTTTTCTTCTCCAGGCTGAACAGCCCCGGTTCTTTCAGCCTGTCCTTGTAGGGGAGATGTTCCATCCCTTGAACAGTTTTTGTGGCCCTCCTCTGGATACACTCCAACAGGTCAATATCTCTCCTGTACTGAGGACACAGGATCACCTCTCTTGACTTGCTGACCACACTTTTTTTGATGCAATCCAGAATATGATTGGCTTTAACCAGGCTGCTAGGGCACATTGCTGGCTCAAGTCCAGCCTGCCATCCCCCAGTGCCCCCAAGTCCTTTTCAGCAGGGCTGTGCTCTATTCTTTTATACTCCAGCTTGTATTGATAGTGGGGATTACCTCATGAGGTTCACCCAGACCCACTGCTCAAAGCTGTCTGGATCATTCTGGATGACATCCCATCCCTCAGGCATGTTGACATCATCACACAATTTGACATAATCTGCAATCTTGCTGAGGGAGAACTCAATCCCACTGTTGAGGTAATTGATGAAGACATTAAACAGCACCTATTCCTGTACAGTTCCCTGAGGGACACCAACCTTCATCTGATCAGTGAGCCATTGACCATCATTCTTTGGGTGCAATCTTGCAACCAGTTGCTCATCCATCAAAAGGTCCATTACAAAAAATCTATATCTTTCAAATTTGGAGAAAGTGATATGGGAGCATGTCAGAGACAGTACTGAAGTCAAGACAGATGACATCAGTGGCTTTTCCATTGTCCACTGACAGAGCAACACCATGATAAATGGTCATTAGATTGGTCAGGCAGGACCTGACATTAATGAAGTCATGCTGGCTATCCTGTATCACCTCCCTCTCTTCTATGTGCCTTAGCACAGTGTGCATTCAAGTAATATACCATTAGCAGAGTGGTGTAGTTAGGCTGGTATTCTACAGGCAGCATAACTAGAAGGATTATCGCAGTGGAAAGGGATTATAAAAATTAAAATACTCACCTGGATCCTAGCCTCACACACACAAAAAAAAAAAAAAAAAAAAAAAAAAAAAAAAAAAAAAAAAAAGCAAGCAAGCAAGCAATCTCCAGAAAGAGATCCTTCCTTAGTGGAAGTCAGCTCTTAAATGGGGTCTAGGAGAGATGGAGCCAGTCTCCACCCTTTCCAGTCACACAGGTGAATTGCCTTCACCTGTTCTCCCATGGCTGTGTCAGTGCTTGCCTCAGGTGGTCAATCAGAGGTTCAGGCTGTCATTCAAAAGTTCCCATACACATAGCTTCCAGGAGGATCTGCTTTGTGGTCTTTTCTGGCACAGAGGTGAGGCTAATTAGTTGGTAGTTCCCTGAGTCATCCTTTCTTCACTTCTTAAAAATGGATGTGATGTTGCCTTTTTCCAATCACTGTGGTCTTCACCTGACCTCCAGGACTTTTCAAATAACAAGAGCGGCTATGTCAGCAAATTCCTTCAAGAACTCTAGGATACATCTCATTATGACCCGTGGATTTATCCTTGAGCAGGTTCCACAGGCAGTTGTGAACCTGAATGCCTCAGCCTTTTCCTTGTTTATTGTTACTAGCTTGCCTGTGTTGCTCACTAGTGAGGATACACCCTCTTTGACTTTCCTTTCTCGCTGTAGAAACCTTTCTTATTTTTCTTTATACCCCTTGCCAAGTCCAGTTCCAGCTGGGCTTTGGCCTTCCTGATTCTGCACAGCCTAGCAGCATCCCTGTACTTCTTCCAGGTTACTTGTCCCTGCTTCCACTGCCTGTGTATTTTCTTTTTGATCTTCTGTTTGACCAGGAGGTCTTGGTTTAGCCATGTCAGTCTCTTGCCTTCCTTTCCTGATTTCCTATGCCTAGGGATAGAGAACTCTTGTGCTGTAAGGAAAGCTTTCTTAAAGATCTGCCAGCTCTGCTCACCTTCCTTGTCCTTGAAGTCAGATTCCCAGGGCGTTTTGTTCACTGACTCCCCTCAGAAATGAGCAAAATGAAACCCAAAATTTCACATTTATTTTCTTATGTGTTGTTTTACAAGACAGAAAGCAATAGCTTAAAGCTTATTCTAATTCAATTAAATGAATTTTTATTCAAGATTAATAAAATATGAACTTTAATAAGGAAGAGGTTTGTTTGAGTAAATATTGGGGAAAAAAGGAACTATACCTATGGGGGATATATTCTCTGAAGCAATTACCCAGCCTTTGGTAGTACATACTGTAGTCAAAGTAATTTGTTTCCTACTCTCCAATAATATTTGGCAACTTAATGACTGCATTTCCAGTGAAATAGTAGTGAGTTCTTAAATCTTTAGGAAGATTTTCCTCAGCCAAAACTGCAAAAATTACATTTGATATACCTTGTGCAACATGGCATCTAATTCCTTCATGTTGAGCATTGCTTTTCAAGCCCCATTCCTACCTGACTAATATATGGAGACGTATATGGAAGTGGCCCCACAGGTAAATAATGTGAATCTGGGACCTTCAATTAGTACAAGGAAAAGGTGGCATTTCCTGCAATTCGTACTATTCACACAGTATCTGAATAGGTGCCTTTCACTGAATAAGATTATTGCAGTAATTTCTCATCTGTTGTCCATGCACATCAGGAGGTCCATGGGCTACCTAAAAAGGGTTCACAAGTGTAACTAATACAAAGTAATAACTCTAAACAAGGATCATAAAACCAAAACCAACTCAAAAGCAGTGCCACACGTTACTAATATGGCTGCAGAAGTACAGAAACACATTATGGAGACAAAACAACTGTATTTGGGAATGAGATTTCAAATGAAGAGAAAGATGAGAAAGCTTTTTGTAGGCTTACCTCTACTCCATCATCAAATTCGTTAATTTCTGGGAATCCAGAGTTCATAGCATTAGTCTCACTATTATGAATAATGTAAAACAGTTTCAAAAAAGCTTACCAAAAGCTAGTTATGCAAATATTTCCAAATAACTCTTCCTTTCTGCCAAATTAGGTAGGGCATTTCTAGACCAGTTACAGTTTTGAGGAAATCTTTCTCCCCATTGGCATGTTACATGCAATAGACACTACATATTGCTTGTTACTAGAAAGTGTCTCTTACAGACTGAAATCCTACAATGCAGTTCCCAGGCGATTTTTGACAGGCCAATAGTGTAGCTCTGTTTTGTGCAGTGATCTGAATTTCTGCATTTGTGATCCTGAATTGCAAGAGGAATGCAAAAAGCTATCTTCTTCTCCAAATCCTTTGATGATTTTAGATACAGCTTTCAAATATCTGTGGCAGCATTGCTGAGAACAGTGTGGGCTGCAGCGCAGGAGCACAGGTGATGTGTGTATGGGAAAGGGTCCTAAGGATCGTGTAAAGTCTGGTCCAAGCAGTGAAGCTGTGCCAAGGTCTCTGTAGCAGTCTGACTGGGATCCTGTTCTTAAGAGCTTCGTCCTGAACACTGCCTCTCTTGAACTGGAAACTAATTTACTAACAGCTTTGCTCTTACGTACTCTTTATCTTTTGGGGCCCCATCCAGAACTCAATCTGTCTGGCTTCATACATTCAATAACTGTTAGCCGCTGTTACCTCTTGTTACTTCCACAGGGCTCTTGAAGTTTAAGAAGAAAGTTCTTCCTGCAGAAAAGCTGCATGAGGGATCTCCAAAGTTGGCCTCCTGGGACGGAGAGGGACATTTTTGCCAGCAGGCCTATTGGTAAGCTGGAAAATTGGGGTTTGCTATGTTGTGCTCTGCCACTCTGCCAGTGTAGTGACAGGAGAACAGCAGGGATGACAGCTGTGCAGACAGGTGCTTTCTCAGTCTTCCTCTTCCTTTTTCATTTATGTGGGTGTTTGGGGCAATGAACTGTTGGGTGCTTATCTATGACACTTCAAGTTATTTCTAAAAGGAATGCTGACAACAAATCATTTTCTGCCAGAACAACCAGGAAACTTCTATCTCCTGCTCCCTTTGTATTCAGGTAGGTCGGTTATCCTGAGGTTCATTGTGAGCTCTAGAAATAAATGACTGCAAGAGAAAGGTGAAATACAAAGGCACAATGCTGCGGGTTGTTTTGTGCTAGCCAAAGCTGTTCAGACAATAGGACCTCAGCAAAATCTAGCATAGAAAACAAAGCTGAAAGGACAAGCAGGCTGCAATTGAAGAGCTTGCCAAATAGCCCTAGGGTTCAATCCTATTGCTGTGTAAGAGCTGGATACAGAAAGAATTGCACATATACCCAGGCATGCAGCTGCAGCACCTTAGCATGTGCAGCCAGGGGAGGAGGATGATTAGCTGCTTGTTCATTCTGGAGCACAAGAGTCATGTTGCCTCATGCCAACAGTGTGAGAAACGCTCAAAATCAATAATTTCCAATCAGACACAGATCTTTGTGAAGTGACGAAGTTTATTCGTTACTGTAAAAGTGGGCGCACGCCACCTTGTGGCAAAAAAGAAATTGTGCGCTTAATTAGTGAAATCTATACTCCTTTATATCCTTCCTACTAAGTGTATCTCTCCTGTTATTCATTGGCTGAGCATTTCAGGCACATAGCGTACTAGACACAGTTGCTAAGGTGTGTTTACATATAAGGTTTATCACTCACCTGTCATTTTTCATTTTTCAAAGGGGACAGGAGGACATTTACTAGGCCCACAGGTTGTTTTCTATTCATCAAGAGGACAGAAGGACAATGTACTTGGGCCACCAGAAGTTCCCCTTTTTTCAAGGGGGCAGGAGAATAGTGTATACTAGGCTTTTGCTATCCTGCCTATCCACCGTAGGTAGTATCAGTGTTTACCCACCTGGTCAGAATGTTCTGAAAAATAGAATATCTGGCAGATATTCTCACTCTAGCTTATATTAGGCTCTGCCTCAACATCTCATTGTGAACAATCTGCAACCATTTTGTAAGGAAGTTTAGTAAAGGCCTATACTTTAGTGCTAGAAGTTTTCTAATGCTCAATCTACCTCTTCCAAACAGTGAGATGTGGGGGGCTGCAACTAGCTGCTTGCTCTGTCTGTGGACAGGGAATCATCTTTAGCCTAAAGAAGCTGTCCTTAAGAGGGGTTGCTGGGGACAGGAAGCAAATCCTACTGCTGTTTTTCACAACAAGAAGAGAAACAATTCTCCCTTGGGCTTTGCCTCTTCCACCCCTCCTCTAGCAAATCAGGCCAAAGTATATGTTATTCTTATCCTAAGAATCTGTGCAGTATTGGCCAGCATAACACAACTTGATAGGACCTACCTTGAGAGCACAGTGCTGATTGCGTACTTCAGCAGGAGTTGCTCTAACCCAGCTTTTATCCAGTTTTGATCCTTAATATCAGTGACCTATTTAGTCCTTGAAAATACAGATTCTTTTCCGACCCATGGTGGCACAAGACCAAAATACAGCTATGCTATCCATGCTACCACTCTGAAAGGCCTTAATTAAAAAAATATATATACATATATTAAATTTTTAGTAGCCCCCACATTTAGTAGTAGAAAAGTGATCACTTGTTCCTGAAATCACCTCCACAGGAGTGGCCTGTTCTCCTTGAAATTGCCATGAACAATGGATAGAAGCAAGCTCAATCACACATCATCTCCGTAGGATCTATTCCTGGCACAGGCCACAGATATCAAACTCAAACTTCAGCAGGCAGTCAGTCCCTTGTAGGGAGCAAGATGTGCAGCTTCATAGTATTACCAAATCTCCCAAGAACCAGTGTTTTGACAATTAGTCTTAATAGAAGGGTGGAGGAGAAGTCCTTTAGTCCCAGTACGTAAATACATTGTTGTGTGCCATTGCAGATCCAGCAATAGAACTACCAAAGGTGATGCTGTGACATAGAAATAGTATACTAACTCCTTTATATTCTTTTTTCTCTCTGTAGTCCAGCACTGTATACCAGCAGAGGATTCTTAATGCCTCTCACTTCCATAACTCAGTCATGCAAAAATGAAACCTTTCCCATATGGTGAGTAATCAAAGCAGGGCTCTCAGATGTGACCTTCCATTGTACAACATGCTACCATCCATAACAGTGGTGTGTAAGTTAATTTGTCTGGAGCCATGGTGCTGTTGTTGGAAGGGCAGACTGACGAGGGATTGTTTCATATAAGCAAAAACACAGTTCTCGTGAAACAAGCTTTTGTCCTTAGCCCATAAAAAGGGCCTTTTTATGATTTATACAGTGATATTTTTTATTTTTCTTTGCATTTAATTGATAGTAGCACAAGAATAATAGTGCAAGTAAAATATAAAAGCAGGATGACCTTATAAAAGAGTGCTTTTTCCACCTTAGAAAAAAACACTTGGTACATTACATTGGAGGCTTATGTTGTAAACTGACTGAGGCAGGAACCACATCTTTGTCCTGTGCTCGTGATGCCTATCTCTCAGTGAGAATCTCTCCTGAAATTATCACATTGTGTAGGATGGATGAATTACAGTCCCCAAACCATCACAGAGAAAAAGAAATGAAGATAAAATGTTTAAAATGTTAGCTTGTCGTGACTCTAAGTTGAGGGATAGGAGGTCTAGATATTTGATTTCCATCAAGGGACAGAAGGTGAAGGCAACCAACTATGTAAGGCCCTGGATCTTAAATGATTAGAAGCTAAAGCTCACTAATAAAGGGTAAATAATTATTACAACAGTTCTAAAATATGTAATACTATGCTTCCTCATAACTGAACAAGGTAAAATTGCCTTTCTGTTTGGGCATCTGCTCCAGATACCCTAGCTAGACACCAGCCCAGCACCCAGATACTTTCTTTTAACTCTCCAAAGATCCTAATGTCGCTGATGCCCCACTTTTGCTGCCCTACTGTCTCCATACACCCTGCTGTTTTTTATAACTTCACTTCACCGTGTGAGAATACCTCCTCCTCCCTCATTAGTGATTCTCAGAAAATGAAAATAGGGCATTGTTACTCCATGCACTGGAGAAATATCACATTGTTGTCTGTAGTGTCTGTAGCTGTGCCTCAAGTTCCCTGCAGGATTTCCCAGACCTGCTTGGATTATTCTTTCCTTTATCCCATTTCTAATGCAAGAGTGAAGAATGCCCTGCAGGAGTTGCTGTAAACATTGCTCTATTCAGCTGCTAATTTCTTGCTGAAGTGTCTCCAACTCTTCCCACACAGAGATAAGGCTTTTCTCCAGCTTGAACCAGCTGATGCTGAGTCAGGTCACTTCCGGGTTTTGGCGCAGCAAGCACCTTTCCTTCAGCATTTCGCACCAGCTATTCCACTTCCATCTGGCATGGGGCCCAGCATGCACCCGTGCATCTGGGTTTCAACATGTCAAGTACTGTTCTCTCCGGCTTTAGGCTAAGAATGCCCCCTACCTTCTAGGTTTCTGTCCTGGAAGACCTCTTTCTGGGTTTTGGTCAAGCAAGCCCCTTACTTCTGCGTTTCAGCCCAGCCAGCCTCCTTCCTTCTGGTTTCTGGCCCAGCACTGCCCTCTTCCGTCTGGGTTTGGACACAGCATGCTCTACTCCTGGTTTTCAGCTCAGCTACAACTCCTGTGTAAGTGCACCACAAGCTCCAGTTCTTCTGCTTTTCACCCCGGCAGGCGCCCTTCCTTCTCAATTTCAGCACAGCAAGCACCCTTCCTTCTGCATTTTGACCCAGACGGACAGCAGCCTTTTGGATTTCAAACCCGCAAGCTTCCTTCCTTCTGGTTTTTGGCACAGAAAGAACTCTCCCTTACAGGTTTCTGCCTAGCAAGCCCTCCTTCTGGGTTTTGATCAACAGGCCCCCTTTCCTCTGGATTTCCCTCCAGCTAACCCACTGGCATGGAGCCCTGCAAGCCCCCATCTGTCTGGGTTTCTGCATATCAAGAAATATTCCTTCTGGCTTTGGGCTTAGAATCCCCCTTCCTTATGGGTTGATGCCCAGCATGTCCCTTCTGTCTCCTGGGTTTTGGTCCAGCATGCCCACCTCCTACACAGCAAAGCCCCTTTCCTTATGGGTTTTGGGCCAGCAAGTCCCAGCTGTTTTGCATTTCTGGCCAGCAAGTCCACTTCCTTCTGGATTTTGGCCCAGCAAGCCACTTTCCTTCTGGGTTAGAGCCAGCAACACCTCTTCCATATGGTTTTCTGGACATCAATCCCTTTTTCTAAGTATTTTGGCCCAGCAAACCTCCTTCCTTCCAGTTTGTGGCCCAGCATTGGTATTGACACAACAAGCTCTACTTTTACGTTTCAGCCTAGCAAGACCCATTCTATTAGGTCTGTGGCCCTGCACTCCCGGTTTCTTCTAGTTTTGGACCCAGCAAGCAGCATTCTTTTGCTTTGTGGCACAGTACACCTGCTGTTTTCTGGGTATGGACCAGCAAGACCCCTTCCTTCTGAGTTTCAGTCCAGCAAGGCAGCTTCTTTCTGATTTGCTGCACTCCTTGCACTTTTACGGCTACGGAACCGACTGAGTGCGCTCCAAGTAACTCCAAAGGAGCAATATGGACTTCAGCTTGTTTTCTCTCTGACAGCGCAATGCCTAGCCCTCCTCAACGTACTCATCATCTGTCTTCCAGCAAATTTTCATTCCTTTTTTTCTATCATCAGAGAAACTAAGAGTGTTACAATGGAGAAAGAAAAGAAATGAACTCTCACTAAATAAAGGGGAAGGTGTGTTGAAGTAGTGCTAGGAGTCATGCTTTCAGAGAGAAAACGAGCTGAAAGCATAATTTCTCCTGTCTCAGCTGCAAAGAAAAATCCCATCCTCGGAGGAAGGCAGCCGGTTGAAGTTGCACTTTTTTGGCTACAGAATTGCCCGACTCCACCCTTCTCAGCAGAAAGCAGCATTTGCAGAGAACCACTATTCACACCGGTCACTTGCAGACGAGAAAGTGTGACCAGCTGGCTGTTTCCCTCTGGTGAGGGAGGTTTCTCTCCACAGTCCGGTAAGGAGCGATTTGGTCTTCACTTTGTTTTCTCTCTTGCAGTTCAACTGCTAGCACTCCTCAATGCATTCATCACTTATCTTACTAATTGCCCCCTTCCTTCAGGGTTGAGGCACATCAAAACCCAGTCTGGCAACCCTCCTTCTGGCTTTTGGAATAGCAACCCTCCATTCCTCTGTATTTTACCCCAGCAAGACCCTTTCCTTCTGCTTTTTGGCTCAGCAAGACTTCTTCCTTTTGGCTTTCAACCCGGCCATGCCTTCCTTCCTTCTCAGTTTCAGCACACTATGCTTCATTCCATCTGTTTTTTTTCTTACACAGAAATGTCCCTCCCTTCTGTTATATTTTGGGGGAAAAACTGGTGTTTCAGGCAGAAAATGTGATATTTTTGGGAGAGAGTTAATATTTCTGGGTGAAAGTATCGTATTTATGTGGAAAGAACTGATATTTCTGGAAGAAAATGACGTATCTTTTCGGAAATAGTGGTATTTTTGGGAGAAAGTGTCATATTTTGGGGGAGAAAACTGGTATTTCTGAGAGGAAAAAGTGATATTTTTAAGAAGAAAAGTGGAATTTCTGGGAGAAAATGTCATAGTTTGGGTGAGAAAACTGGTATTTCAGGCAGGAAATGTCATATTTTTGGAGAAAACCGGTATTAGTGGGAGAAAACATCATATTGATGGGAGAAAACTGGTGTTTCTCTCAGGAAATGTTATATTTTTCTACAAAGCTTGTATTTCTGGGAGAGAATGCAATTTTTTCAGGAGAAAACTGTTATTTGTGGGAGAAAATGTCATATTTTCAGGATAAATTTATAAAAATTTGTAATTAGGCCAGCTAAATGATTGTGTTGGAAGACAGTTCTGTTCCAACCATTTCTATAAAGGCTGGTCCCATCTCGCTGATGGGAGACTGGTTAGGATATTAGGACGCCTCGAAGAGCTAAGGAGGCTGTTGAGAATTGGATTTACCCCTCTCAGCAGAGGTAAATAGGCATAACATCCTGATATTTTAAATGTTGGCCTGCATAAGTCATTATACAACCTTCTTCAATTACCAGCCAACTGTTTGAATAATTCCAAACCATATTCATTCCAAAAAAGACAGCAAAGTGCCTTTGGACTTTGGTAGTAAAGTCGTCTTCAAGTTATGAAGAACCTAAGAGATAGTATACAAAATATTTTTCAGTGTAATGCGATATGTACCTCTCCAGAGAACTCTGCCAGTTTCAGCAAAACTGTGATTCTATGTGATTTTCTGAAAAGGTATGTGTGATTAAGCTTTTAAAGGGAAATAATACATTCTTGTACCAAGGTAATTTGACAAATGTAGCCAATGTGTTAACAGGCAGTAAGTATGTTGAGAGAAGTGAAAGACTATTGCTTGCATTTTCTTGTTGAGTGCTCAGAGGAGAGAAGAGATACATACTTGTTTGAAGAGCTCAATCTTTTTATAATTACCTCCTTCAAAAGCTATAAATGGGCAGTGGATATTACATTTGGGTGCACAGTGTATCAGAATGAAGGTGAAGGAATACTCTCAAAAGCATGTACCCAATTTTTATTGAAATGAAATGCAAATTTCAATGCAAACACGGATTTGTCTAGAGGGAAAATTAGAAAAGCAAAAGTCCAGTAAGAAATTAACCTGGCCACCATTGTTAAAGATAGTAAAAAATTGTTTTACAAATATACTAACAGCAAAGAGGAAGGCCAGGGAGAATCTCCTGGCTTCACAGTACATGATGGAGAAGGTTTTCACTGAGAGCAAGGAAAAGGTTGTCTTTCTCAGAGCCTTCTTTACTTCTGTCTTTAATAGTCAGGCCAGTTATCCTCAGGGTACTCAGCCCCCTGAGATGAAAGACAGGGATGGGGAGCTGAATAACCTACCCACAATTCAGGAGGAAACTGTTAGCAATGTGCTACTCCACCTGGACTGTCACAAATGCATGGGACCAAATGGGATCCACCCAAGGGTATTGAGGGAGCTGGCAAAAGTGATTGCTGAACCACTTTCCATCATTTATTAGCACTTCTGGTCAACTATGGAGGTCCAAGATGACTGTAGATTTGCTAATGTGACACACATCTACATGAATGAGGATCCAGGGAACTATGGGCCTATCAGCATGACCTCAGTACTAGAGAAGGTC